CCCCAAAACCCCAAAACCCCAAAACCCCAAAACCCCATAAGTAAATTTGAAAGAATTATAGCTGGGCATTTAAAAAATAAATTATAAATCTTATTTTATTTGACAAACTGACGATAGATCAGTCACAAGTAATTATTTAAAAACTGCTGTTTCTTATTAAAGATAAAACTCTTGGCTTTCTCTAGGCTTATCTCAGTATTAAGATAGTCTTACTTCATGACACAATCAGATTGAGGTGTTTCACAACCCATAGTGATCTTACTGCTATCTTAGCTTTAGCCCTCTCTGTCGAATAGATACTAATAACTCAATGGTTGATAGTCAAGAATTTAGTTGCTTTCATATTAGTTTTATGCTAATTAATGGGCATTACCCGAGTTGTCACTAAGTCTTATCAATCCAATATGCATCACCTCATCATCAATCCCTCCACTCAGACTGGGTTTGCTTATCAATTTGAAATTGTGTATCTCAGGATTGATCGATTAATAATTGTGAGGAGTAGTGGCAGTATTTATATTAAGGTAATCTCTATTCCTATGATTATCTTTTGATTATTTTTTATGCTTCAATCCATTCCCTAGATTTACCTCAAAGTCCAAATCGTTAATACTCTCAGCAATAATTTAATGATTTCTATGTTAATCTTTTGAACTCAGAATTTTAATGTCAACTATTTTACTGGATTTATTACTGCATCTTCCTGAATATTCACTATTTGACATGGTTGTCTATTAAGGAAGTTCATATCTATTAAAGCTTTTTGAATTAACTAAGTTCTGACTGGATGGTACGAAACTTAGCTGTTTTTATGATTGAGATTAAGTCTGTTTGTTCTTTTCTTTTTTACTATGCTTTTTTAAGGGAGGCTGATTTTTAAATTCCAAATTCTATTATACTTCTAATGTAGGCGAAAATAGATTCAAACTCTGAAATGCTTTGAATTAAGCTTCTTAAAATGCTAGAAACGATTTTAGCAACCTATTATTATCCCTATTAGTCTCACTCACATTTTCCTTTTCATTAAGCTTTTATTTTCCACTCATTGATAATTGACTAGATTTGCCTTATGATAGTCTCTTTTCTGGGTTCACTTAAAGTGGAGAAATCAATGTGCTTTCAGATGAAATTTGAGTGTTTCTAGATTTTTTACACTCATTTAAATGCTTATCAATTACTTTCTTAGTTCCTCTGTTCTATTAATGCATCTACTTCATTGAAAAGGTTTGAAATGTACTACTATGAGGTAAAGTTTATTACTAATCGTTTGTGAGTTAATTAGTGAATTTTCTATCCTAAGACAGTAAGGTGCATTAAGTATCAGCAGCAGTTGGTTATGTTTATTGCTAGTATAATGTAGAAGAATGATCTTGTTTAAAGTTAAGTTACATAATTTGGGGTTTAGATTTACTCTATCTGGGTATACTAACACTTGTCATTCGTCTGTTCTTTTCATTGCTATTTGAGCTAAGATAGGTAATGTCTTAGCATATTTTGCTCAAAGACAAGTGCTTAAGATGTCTTATACTAATTGAGCTGTTATTTCTGCTATTCTTTTAAGAGCTCTTAAATATTTTAGGTTGGTGTTTTTATTTTTATTGTGTCATGAATTTGGTTTTTTGTTAATTACTGATTGAAGCAGGCAAAGTCTTAACTTTAAGCCCACTATTTGGCCTCTAGATTGACACTACAGATGAACATCTAGAGTTCTTGATTGATTCCGAATCAGAATATTGGTTTTAATACTGATTAGACTTTGATTTATTATCATTTTACCTTTCTTTCCACAGATGCTTATTTTATGTCAAATACTATGAGAGTTTTCTTCGTTTTTAAGATTCCTCGTGTGAAAAAGATTACTATAGACGCTGATTTATCCCAGGAGGATTCTGCTTCTATTAAGATTATTTAGCCTAACCTACAACACTTTTTTTATCTTGATAATCGTAGTTATTTGAGTTATAGTTTTGATTAAGAAATTTCATGTTCCTTTACTATCGCTCATTAGGCTATTATACTGCATTTCTTCTACTTAACCTGAGGTTGAGATTCTTGTAGCCATCAATATTTGCTATACACTCCTCTCGCTAATTTTAGCTTAGATTTTAGCATATTAGCATGCTCATACACTAATTTTAGTTTTTGTTAGTAGTATTATTACTTGTTTGACTCTTTTACTACTATTTATCTATACTTAGCTAAATATACCTCTTTGGTATCGATTATCTCTAGGCATTTACTCTTGCCTGCTATTCAGAATTGTCTCTAACTTAATTAGTATTACTATAGAAAAGGTTCTCATTCAAATTCAGATTTTATAAAGGATTTAAATGAATGCCATTTTTATCTTATGACATAATTGAACTGAGCCGTTTGATGTCTTAATAGATTCTTTGCACCTTCTTGCACTTCTCTAACGAGTCAGTATTGCATTAAATCTCATATGTTCTCGACTGGTTCTAGGCTTGGTGTTTTGTATCATTAGGCAAAGGATTGAAATGAGAGTATTTTATGTTATTAAGTCCTCTATTTTTGTTGTTACTAATAAGCAAATTACTTGCCATTTTTGGGTTCTTGAGTGAAATTTAATAATCAAATTTGCTCGCAATAAATTTTAATTTAAAAGTCAACTGACTCAACTGAATGGTAAAAGAGTTATTTGAATAATCTACTAATTTGAATTTCACTGTTGACTTATATTTTGACATACTGGGGGTTTTGGGGTTTTGGGGTTTTGGGG